ATAGTACTGAGGCAGACAGCCAGTGTGAGGATGTACAAGATCTTCCATTTCAGTTCATGTAGATAGAAACTATTTTGCAGTATCTGTAAAAAATTCGATGAATGTTCTTTTTTCTGAACTCTCTTGCCTGGACTGGCTTTAAAACTGACTGATGTGCAATAATACCAAGGAGCGGTAGTGACTGTATTTCAGGGGTAAATTAAACTTGGGGGGCTCACGGATGAGGCGTTACCCAAATCCAGCCAGTTTTGAATGGAGATGGTTTTGTTCTGAGAAATATCTAGCACTGTTTGTTGTTTTTGCTGAATTACTTAAAGTGTGATTCTAGATCCCAATCTTCTTTTTGGCTATAAACACTCAGTTGGAGTGTATCAAGTCTAAAGTTCTGGGGTCCAGTGAATTCTTTATGTAGCATGTGTGGTTGGTCCACATTTCAGAGAAGGGGTGTTTTCTGTGAGTTTGTGGGAAAACTGAGTAGAAACAAACATTCCCTTTTTTTTCCCTTACTTTTAAGATTTATGGATCCATATCCCAAATCAATGATTTGTCTACGTTAGTTGCTCAAAATCAGGTTGAAATACAAATTACGTTCATGGCCATTGCCGATTTGATTTGTATGTTGCTGTAGATCTCCAGGTATAGAGGCCCACCCCAGAAGGATGCTGTATTAAATATAATTTCTCTCAAACAGCTGTCAGTGCTGCTATACCCGTGTCTATTTTTTTTTTTTTTTGTAAATAAAACATGGTGATCAAAGCTTTATGTAAAGGTTTCTTTGAAAATAAGCCTATTTTTTATATTTGGAAATGGCACTGTCTTAAAATAAATTTGAGAAGATAATTTATATTTACAAACTGTTTTCTATAATATTTTTAACTCTTTTTAAAGTATGTTTACTCAGCAACAATGATGCATTTTAAAATTGTGACACACTGCAACAAAAAGCAAATTTTTCATCAAGTTTTCTAAATTCCTGACATATAACTCTTTGAGACTCAGGGGCAATGAATCTGTGTTCCCAAGAATTCTTAGAAATTTCAAAATTTACACATAGTCCTAGCTGTTAACTACACTTTATTTGGATATTTCAAAATCTTTATGTTTAAAGAATAAAATATATTGAGTTTAGTAGTTTACAAAGAACTATAGCCTACAGGAATACTTAGACAATGAGAAACATAATTTAAAATTCATTTATCATAGCTAAGGAAACAATTTCTTTTTACCCCCAAGATAGGGTTTCTCTGTGTAGCCCTGGCTGTTGT